TTGCCTAATGCTTTAAATCAGAATTCGACTATAATTCATACCTTTTGAAGGTAAAGTACAATTTGGACAGTAAAAATTAAACTTATCTTTCTGCTGACAAACCTAAAAAAAAAGAAATGGCCTAGGGTATGTCAGGTTGTTTAGACGTGTTAATTAATGCACCATTTAAGTATATCACTAACTTCAGTCTTTCAGACACTAGCTTGTGGTAAGTATTTCTAAATCAACTTAATCTGTGCTTGTAAGTTACAGTGGGACAAACAGTAATAACTTTCTGTGTGGGGTGGGTTTTTTTGGTTTGTTTGGGTGGGTTTTTTTTGCGAGGGGGGTAGCTTTTTGGTGGGGGAGAATGCTTAGTTCAACAATAGCTTTGTGTTATTGAAAATCTTGGTCAGCCTGTATTTACTGGATAGACTGTGTTCTCGTGCTGTGCAGTCCTGAAGGAATTTGATACCAAACATAAAATGGAGTCTCATAGCAATCTACTCCAGATGTTTTAGTAAGATAAGAATTTTGACTATTTAATACAAGTGTGTTATTCTTAGGTAGCCATTTCTTTAGTCATTTTCCTATTACTTGCTTATATGTATAATCTTAAATCTTGCATCTAATTAACTTATTTCCCTACTACAACAGTTATATCACTGTCCTTGCTGTGTACTTCTGTGAGTCTAGAGAGAACAAGGACATTATCTTCTAAAATGTCTGCTGTTGATGCTGTGTGATCAAACTGCGTCTTTTAAGCATGCTTCAGTCCGTATGCTGCTACTGTTTCTCATAAATAGATAAAACTGTATTTGCAAAAAAAAATGAGTTAAGAACATTTCTAGCAGACTCGTACTTGAGTTCCAGGACTAATATAGTTTGGTTTACTCTGCAACACCCACTGCTGTTCTGTGTAGGAAGGAAAAAGAAACCTCCTATTCCTAGCTCCATAATTGCAAATGTGTGGCTTTGAAGTTTGTTTCTTCCTGTAAACTTTCTTATTAGGCACAGCGCTTTCCAGAAACCGGAAGCATGAACACTGCACTGGCAAAAATCAGATCAGAGTTCAATAAACAGTCTAAAAGTAATAGCATTGTTTTGGAGGGAGTGGCTGTTTCATTCTGGCAGCAAACTTCAGCAATGGAGTCAAAATGATGCAATTGCTACTGGTTAGCAGGAGGGTGAGGATGATCTCTGAAGTCGTTTGTTCACTGAACAAGATTTCCAGAAATGAAGGAATGTAACTGGTCTCAATCTTATCTTGACAGTGCTAGAAGCTCTGAAGTATGCTATTTAAAATTATTCTTTTTCAGTTTTTATTACTTCAGTATAATAAAAAAATCAAAACCCCCGTCTTGGTTTGTTTCTTCAGGAACATGTTTAAGGAAAAATACTAGAAAAGTGAGAGGAAGATGAAAGTGTAGTAGTGCAAGGCAATTTTCCTCTTCTTTCCCACTCATAAAAGGAAATAAGCAAATGTTAAGTAGGGATTCTTGTTTATGTCCAAGATTTTTAGTCACTCAGAGTGCTTGGGGAAACCTAGACTTCATGTTCAGGCCTCCAGAGAGATGAAGCACTTACATGATTAGGCATTAAATGAAAACCATGGAGATAAAACTCACTAAGGAAATAAGCAAATGTTAAGTAGGGATTCTTGTTTATGTCCAAGATTTTTAGTCACTCAGAGTGCTTGGGGAAACCTAGACTTCATGTTCAGGCCTCCAGAGAGATGAAGCACTTACATGATTAGGCATTAAATGTATACCATGGAGATAAAACTCACTAATTGAAAAGCTAATGCTTGTTATAGTCTCACAGTCTTTTGAGTTCTGATCATACGGAGAGCTAATATTTCTGTTACCAGTTTGTAATAAATGCTGACTTTCTACTTTAATACCAGCTATTGGGTTTTTCAATTTTGATATAAGCTGCACCAAACTTCCGTTAAGCTCAGTTATCCCATTAAGAAGTGTATTTCATTCTTACAAAACTACTACAAAACTAAATTAATTTTTTTCATCTTAATGGAACCATCTTTTGAATAAGAATTTGAACGTAGATTTTGTAATTTATTTTTTTATTACTATTTTTTGACTTTCTAACAAAAAAGACTTAGGATGGGGACTGCTGGGATTTCTGAGGTGTTACCCTAGAATGGTGCAGTATCCACCGAGTGCTGGCTTGTCAGGGTTGGTGGGTTTTTTTTGGTGGGTGGTGGTTTTAATCTTCAGATTACACTGAGGCTTACCTATGCTATGTTTTTTCTGACTTACTCTCCTTGTAGACCATTTGTGAACATATATTTTATTCGCGGTGAGTATATTCTTTTAAGCTCTGATGCCTTGCAGTCCAAACCATACTCTTGTTGCCAGTCATGTTGACTATCGAGTTGAAACAAGCCTTGTGGTCTTGCTGTTACCAAGCTTCTGTGAAAGAAGAATAGTAGTAGCTAAAATACAGGCTCTGGCTTTGTGCTTAAAAGGACTCCTAATTTGGAGTTGTTGGTAACTTAGTTGAAATCCATATGTTTAATATGATGAATTGCTCAGTGCTGTGATATGATTCACAAATAGCAGTAATGGAGTACTGGAAACCCTGGGGTGTTAATGGGCAGAGGTTTGGGTTTGTTGTTGTTTGGGGTTTTTTTAAGTTAATATTTTTATTCTGTCTCACTGATCCTAACAGACTGGATTTTGAATGACTCTAATTTCCTATTTTCCTTGCACGCCATTTCAGGTTGAGAAAATAAAGCTTTAATACTTTGAACTGTGCTCAGTAACTAGTGAAATTACTAAGGACTTTTGTATGCTAAATTAGGACCATGGATAGGATGAAAATAAAAAAAGTGATAGACGTAGGATCACAGTCTCATGATTCCAAGGCACTCAAGTTCTTCAGTACTTCTGTATTAATTCAAGTGCTGCTAGCTCTTTATCTTGAGGCAGATAGCATATCATGGCAGTTAAACTCAGTATTGAAGTAATAATTGTCTTTCATCCTGAACTTTATCACTATTTAAGTTAAAATGATGACTGTGTATAAACAATAAATGATTTAGCTATAATTGAACGTCTCTTTTTGTGTTTTATGAAGTAGAAATCAATGTTTCAACTGACAGAGAGATGAACTGTGACATAGGCTTTTTAAAACAAGTACAGAGCAGGAAGTTATTTTCCAAAGCATAGGTTGATAGTCCTGGTTCACTCACAAAGAGGAGGAAGTAGAAGGCTTGAAAATGCATTGAGAGCAGAAAGCCAGAGTAGAGGAGGATGAAACAGGAGTGGTGAGAGAATATAATATTCTATACATTTGAACAATGGTGAAACAAAAGATTTAGACAAGTGACAGATGAGCAACTCGACAGTTTGTCCTGTAGGAAGTGTCTTGCGAGGGGGGGAAAATATGCTCATTTCAAGGCTAAAGATATTGGTGGGTAAACTTAGTTCTTTACTGCCAGCTGTACTAGTTATTATATTTTATATTCCAAGGCATAAAATGGAGGATACAAGTGGCTGAAAGTAGCTGGAATTTCTGGTAAGTTTGTATAATACATGATAGCATTCCTACAAAATGATCAGCTTTCATTTCACTAAAGGGCTCTCTTTAGCAGAAAATGTAAGCAAGCTTATCACCATGGTATCTCTAAATAAAAGAAAGTGGGGGGGGGGGGGGGGGAAGGAAAAAACAACCCTTTAAAAAAAAAAAGCTTGTAGGAACTGTGAGTCTTGAGTCTTAAAACTCCTTTTAAATGTTTAAAAGCTTTTTTTCCTTACTGAAAACTTCAGTAATTGTGCATAGACTTGCCACTATTAGTATCACTGACTCCTGGAACCAGGCCAGTAAAAGAAGAAATATCTGGCAAATATTCTTAAGTTGTGAGAAACTGCAAACCAGTTTGTTTTTTTCTTTTTGAGGCTAGTTGTAAAAGATCCTTCTGGTGGTGGTGACCTTATTGAATACTGATTGGAAAGCGACTGCAGCTTGAAAACGCCATCATGACTTCTCTTTGTTATGTAGCCTCTTTCTTTGGCATGTCTCTCCAGATACTAGTAACAGAAACTATGCCCCTGTAAATCTTGAATAGGTTATAAATGCTGTGAAGGCAATTTTGCAGAGGCTTAAGCTACTTCTGACTCTTTGAGCTCTTACTGTCAGTGAAAGCATTTCTGGTATGTACCACAATGGGGAGACAGAAGTAGTCTTCAGCGGCAGTGTAAGTGAAGAGAAGGACTGGTAGGCACACAGCCAATGCTGAATGCTTACAAATTTGGGGGTTCAATCTTTGTGTGAGATTTCTTTAACTTTACCTGTGTTTGTTGCCTTTCTGATGAGGACTGATGAGGTTTTAATAAATGATCTAGGAAGGGGAGGGAGCCACTTCTCCCCTGCTTGTATTAAAACTGTAACATGGGAGAGACCAAGCAGCAAGCTACGTTTGAGGATTAGAGCTGTAGTGGAAGTTTTCCCTCGTATTTCCTGTGCGATGTTTGCATGTCCCCTTGCACTGCTTGCCCCCCAGAACAATTTGAAAGAGTAGGGTGCAGTACCTTATTTGTGCATTAAATTAACTCTGTCTTTCAATTTGTTGTAGAAAGCAGAAACTCTTTCCAAATGTTCCTCATCGTGTCCATTGTTGTACTTTTTCCTTCCTGGCCTCTTTTAACTGTTTCCAGTTTTCCAGTTCACAAATCTGTGCATTCATCATGCAGCATCAGTTTAATTATGTCATTTGAATCCTTACAAACCCTATCCATCCTCTTAATTTGCAAAGTTATTTAGTTGTTTTTCGTTAAAACTAGCAAGTGTCCAGTGCTCTTCTGGGTTTTTTTGGTAGTGGTTTAACTAAATCAGCTTGAAATTTAATAGTAAATTGTGGGGTTTTTTTTCTTTCTTCCCCATATAGGCAAAGCAAAGAGTTTATTTCTAACTGAAATAAGAACATGCTAAAAATTGTTTTAAAAAGATCATAGCTGTTGCAGTGTAAATAACCTTTAGGTAACTGTGATCTTTCTCAGGTGGTGAACTTGCTGATGGGCATCTTGTTGACAGTAGAAGTGACTCATCCAAACATAGTGCCAACTGTTGATATCCAGTATGAAGTCATCGGAAATTACTATGCTTCTGAGAGAATGGCCGGTAGGTGTATAACTCTGCTGTTTGATTAGAAAATAAAGCATGTAGTATCGTGGTGTATTTGCCTTACACTAGTGTGTAATATATGCATACAGCTTTTAAATATGGTTGTCTTGTTTTTTGAATTTCTCTTTAATTATTCTGGGATTGAGGTCTTCTACAAGAATTAAAAAAAACTTACCTGAAATGTTATTTTTATTTCGTATTACTCCTAAGCATCCTAAACGGTAAGACTTCTAAAGGTTTCTTGGCTTTCTAATGCTTTGAGTGTTGAAGTATGTGTGGATGATCTCTAATTCACTTTCTCCATAAATATTTACTATCCTTGCTGTGTCAGTAAAACAAAAAGCATAAAACTATTTTTAAAGATTTTTGGGGAATTTTTAGTGATCCTCATACATTTAAGGAAAGAGTTTACAGCTACTGTGTAGGAGTTTACTAAGAGGAAAACCATGCCATTTTTCTAAGAACAGTGGAAGAATTGGGATGCCAAGTACTTGAGTGAAACCAAAGTATTTATCTAAAAAGCTTGACATGCAGAAGAAACAGAAGAGAAAGCATCATGAGCAGAATTAAACCTACTTCCACTCTGTTGTTATAGATGAAGTGTCTGATGTGTGCAAGTGTAATCAGTGTCAAACTTTCGTCCGTAATGACCAAGTTTCTTAACTGTAGTATGACGTGTAAACTTGTGCGTATGCTTTGTTTTTCTTGGTTTTAAATGTGCAGAAATACGTTGAGTGTGGCACTTCTAATGTGTCTTGTCTAAGTCTGTTGTATTACACTAAAATTTAGGGAGGGTCAGATCCAGTCTGGAGCGAAGATTAGTACAGCACAGACCTGGATTTTGAGAGTTCTGGCTTATAGTCTTCGTATTAGTTGTTCATGACCTGAGTTGAGGATCTGTCAGTTCTGACCTGTGACTCTAACTCACACTTGTTGGTAATTAAATGAGTGGGAACAAGGACCAAATGCTTCATAAAGCCAAGATATTAAGTAAAATTACAGCAGATATCTGTAAAATGTTACATGTTTTGTAACAAATGTTGGTGTACTTGGTAGCCTTAAGCCTCTATGACTGAAAGATGCTTGTGAAGGTGCTTTCTCCACTCGTAGTGTAAAATGGCTATCGCATGCTTTTGACTTAAAGATTCATGTTTCCCATGTTGGAATATGGGCTAGAGGGTTTTGTGTGCATGAAGGGATCTTAGAATTTTGATTGTGCACGTGGGTATTGTGAGTAACAAATCCTCAGAAGAAAACCACACTTGTTGGTTATTGCCGAGTACTTGGGGCTCTCTGATCAATGCAATGCATTTCAGACGTGGGAGGAGGACCTTCGTGCTGCCATCTGTGTACGTAGATATTATTATCTTGTACTGAATTGGGTATGTAAGTGTTTCTACAGTGTATATTTTCAAATCAGTTGCAGACTAGAAAGTTACAATTCTCAGATCATCTGTTTCAAGTATGGGAACCACAACAGTTTGGCTTCAGTATTGCTAAAAACATTAGCTTACCACATCTATAGACTCTCAAGCTGGTTTCTTTCTTTGTGTTTAGAAATGTAAACTGCTTGCTGTAGGAGAACAAGTACAATCTAACTCGTGGAAAGCAGCTGTGCTTCTGTCATCAGTAACTGTGATGCACAAGGAGAATCTTTATCATTCAGTTTCCATGAGTGTCCTGGATTCTGCTACCACTTGGCTTCTGTTTGACTGCCTTTTCTTGTAAATAATGGGATACCTTCCATGCAGTGATTTCCTGTTTTCCTTAGTGTTACTGAAGGAGCAGTGCTGCTCCCACTGCCAATGACCAAATTACATAATCAACCATTTTAAAGTGTGAAGGTCGATACTGTGCTAGCTTCACTTAAAATTCTTTCCAGTTGTAAAGTTAATCACCTACATACTTCTAGCACTGACATATATTGCAAATCAGCATCGTTATGTTGCATTACTATCAAACTATGTCAGGCTTCTAATTGGTGTGTCTGAGCTTTATTCAGCCTTTTGATTAAGGCAGAGGGATTTTTCCAAACGCCTGCTGGTTTTCTTGAACCAGATTTTTTTCCATTAGGAGATGTCTGAGTTACTCAGTTCTGCTGCTGCACAGATGAAACAGTTGAGTGAGAAAAGATCATAGTAATGGATAGAGCTTGTGTACCTGTCAGCTGCAGTGTGACAACTTCAGGAAATGACTGATGCTTATTGTTTTTCTTTTAATGCAGAAAATGCCTGCGTTCTGTTTGCTATCTCCCTCCTCATGTTCACAATCAGTGCCATGATGGTGTATGGTGCAATCGCTGTAAGTATATTTATAGTACATGGTTTTAAACTTGCTACTTGAATTTTTAATGAAATACCTTACAGGCTGCTGCTTTGTTTTTTTCCTTCCTTCTTAGCATCGTGTAGGCTGGCTGATCCCATTTTTCTGTTACCAACTCTTTGACTTTGTGCTCAGTTGTCTGGTTGCCATCAGTTCTCTAACCTACTTGCCCAGAATCAAGGATTACCTGGATCAGTTGGTAAGTATTTGTTCAGCTTATTTTACATTTGAAATTAAACTTTGGTTTAATTGGATAAGTGACTGAACTATAGTTACCTTCCTGTGCATACGAAAGAGGAATTTGGGCTGCAGCAGCCATAGGGGATGACTGCTAGGGTGGTTATGAGAATGAGAGCTTATCAGAGGTGGAAGGGCCAAAGGTGTCATTGCACCCTAAAAGGAAAGCCAGGGAGAGTAAAGAAGGAATTGTGGCAGGAGTTGTTGGTTTAAACTGCCTCTGCTACGTTTGCACTCGAAACAAAGATGTTCCTAACCCTTTAAGCAATGTGGTTCTGTGTCAGGTTTGCTTCTGCAGATGAAAAATGTATTGACCCTTACTTGGTGGGGGAGGGGAAGAAGAGTATAGGTAATGGTTCATATGATGTAGGGTCCTGCAGCATTATGGGATGGAATCTGAGATTCTGATGGTTCCTTTTTATGTTCTATATGGCTCTTTTCATTTTGCAACAATACCTTCTGAGGAGACTGTAATGGAGTTATCATAAACACTGCCTGTGTTTTAACTGCAAGAAGACTCAATGGATAGAATACGCTGTCAGTTAACGGGGATCACAGGCTTTTTCTGGGTGGTGTTTAGATCTGTTCAAGTAGCTGTTTAAAAAAAAATCCTTTTAAAACAGATTAAAAAATTGGATTGGCATTGGAGAGAGGCTTTGTTACTGTGGCCAGGGAAAGAGAAGAGTCTGAAATTTGCAGAAGCTCTTAGTTTTGGCTCTTCTGAAGTTTGAGGGCAACTTTTTTTCCTTTCTACTCTGTGCACATGTACATTACTGGTAGGACTGACAGCAGGTAGTTAATACTAAGTCATTAAAGAGTTATCAAGTAGAGGACCGTAAGTACAAATGCTGTATAAGTACAAAATCTGTATTAGCATGAGATTGAGGAAGTGACTAGGGACATGGACAGTAGAAGGCTTCTGTATAGGTAGCCTTCTTCTGTTAGAGACCTGTTCTTGCAGGACGGAGGCAGGATATACTGTGCTTTGTGGGAGGATAAAGAAGAAACTAGTGAGAAACAGAACTTTTCTTTGTTTCTGGGGGAGTAGTTTATGCAAGAGTTTGTTTCATTTGGCGTGAAGTTTGGATGTTCTTCTGTCATATTTGTGACTGTGCAGTGTTCGTGCTTATCTCCTCCCTTTCTCTCCCTTCCCTGTCTTTTTTGACTAGCCGGATTTCCCTTACAAAGATGATCTCCTTGCCTTGGACTCCAGCTGTCTCTTGTTTATTGTTCTGGTGTTCTTTGCTTTATTTATCATTTTAAAGGTAAGTTAAAACTTAAGCATGTGTCTGTTTCATGTGTTACTATATTAAGATGCTATCAGCCTGAGTTAATTCTCAGTGCTGAATTAAGAACTCAGTTGACTTCTTAATGCTGAGTTAAGAACTTATTTGAGCAGAATTGTTAGGATGTTCAGTTATGGTATGACTTAAGTCTTATATTTTGTGTACTGGTGTTTTCAACTAACTTGTTTTTATGCAGTGGGGCATGTTTATGCAGCTCTGCCCTTCCTGAGTAGGAAGTAGGAATGCACAAAGACTTCAAATGCCATCTTTTTGCATATGTGGAGATAAATTTAATATTTGTAATTAAGCTCGTAGTGAAACAATATTGAGTTACTGCATAAAAGTTTTCTAAACAAAACTTAAAATCTCTGACTGTGCCTAACAAACCAGGGTGCATGTTTTAGGAGGAGGAAATGCATAGGTTAATTCAGAGCTGCATCTTTCTTCCTACCGAAGGGTGATATTACCAGTTACTTTCTTTTTGATGGTCTAAATACAGAGGCGTCCATCTGAATTGCAAAAACTTGTGCAGACAAAGCATATTAGAGAAATGAGTTGATAATATACATTGGCCATGACAATATTCCTTTGTTGCATTCAGACTGAATTTAAGAAAAAAAAATGAAGTAATGAAAAAGTATTTTACTCATTTTCTGTACATTCTCCAAGAGGAATGTCTGACTGGGGGGAGTGGAAGCCTAACACAGTAGATGATATCTTTGTATTGGGAAATTCGGTACCTTGTGTATAACCACGTGCTAACTTGCCAATGAAAAATTCAGAGATTAATGTTATACAGATTAATAATAAAAGAAAAATCTAATCCTCATCAGAGCATGATAGTATGTCCTTCTACAGCAGTTAATGTTGACTTTAAGTCCAGGCTACTTTGCTCTACAGTCGTCTTCTTGCCACCCCAGCTGTGTGTTCGTGCCCTCTCCTTCGCACCGGTAGTTGGACAAATAGTAATGCTAACTCCGGGATGAGTGGGACTGTGCTGTTGGCCTGTCCTCCTCCTCTTCCTCCTGGCGAGTTTGGACTGAGATCCACAGAAGCATAAGCCACTTGGGGATTAATTTGATTAGCACTGCTGAGGCAGGCAGAGAGATTAGTTGAACGGATCTGTGAATTCTTTTGCTAAAACCTGTGTGGTTCATCCTCTCTGAGTCACTATAATCGCAAAGCTAAATGGGGAACAACATAGGTATGTGGCTAAATCTGTGAAATAGCAACCGTTCCGCAGATACGTATTGACTAAGTTGATTTATGCTCCTTTTTGTCATATGAATGTAATCCAGCATCTAATTGCTGAATCAGCTAATGCATACGAGGTCTTTAAAAAGAGAAATCTCTCTTCTTGCAGGCATACCTAATTAACTGTGTATGGAACTGCTATAAATACATCAGCAACAGAAATTTGCCAGAGATAGCTGTGTACCCTGCTTTTGAAGCTCCTCCGCAGGTAAAACCTCCTTTTGAGATAAAAGGAACCAGCATCATTTAATTCTGAAGTAGAAACCCACCATATCCATACATGTTTACAAGCCTTGTCCAGCTTTCTAAACAAAGACTGGAAAGATTAAAGAAGTTAAAGCAGCTAATGTTACGGTGGGTTATTTCTTAGTTACATTCTATAGTGCATAAAACAGGAGGGTTTATAGAGAAAAGTCTTTGAATGTTTTTCTTGTAGTAGAGGGAAGCTTTCTGATTGCACCAGTGAAAAGCTTCCTTGCCGCTTTGCAAAACCAAGAGTCAGTGGGGTGGAATGGATGACCTAGGGTTAGGTTCAGCAGAGCAGTAAACTACTGTTGCACCTTCTTTCGCTTCCTCACTAGCTTACTAGAAACAGCAGTAAGTTCATCTTAAAAACACTTGCCTGCAACAGGGGATTGAGTTGCTGATGGGGCATGTATGTTCTTGTTCTGGTTATTTTTTTTTCCTAAACCTTCTGCATTAATCTCTTCAAAATGTCTTCTTTTTAGTATGTTCTGCCAACCTATGAAATGGCAGTGAAGATGCCTGAGAAGGAACCTCCACCTCCCTACATACCTGCCTGAAGCAATTTTTATGTTAGTTAATGTCTGTACCAGCTTCCTGGGGGTTTTGTCTTTTAATCTTGCAAAACTGCTTAAGTAATAGAAATATTCAGGGCTTTAGGAGCAAACTGTTCTGTTTAAAATATGTTTGATATAAACTTACTAAGCAAAACACATCTGGGAGTGATTTTGTTTGCTTTAATTTTTGTTCTCCTTAATGCTCTTAAACGTTTTATTGCCTTAGGGCCTTACACTGCAAGAACTTATGCATGTGACTAACTTGTGGCTTTTCATAATACCAGCTGAGCCCACCTATGATTGAAGTTAGCTACAATTATAAGTGTCTGCAGGATCGTGCCCTTAATTTATATTAATTTTTTTGTAAAGTAGTTCATAAAGACAATCTGATCATGCAGCAAAATGACAGTTTGCCTTTATCCATTTTTTGGAGGGGGAGGGGGTTTGAATGTGGTATATACGTGACTTTTTTTTACTTTGCACTTTTCTCATACGTTATCTTACCTTATTGTGTTGTTTTGGTTATCCTATGTCTTGAAACATCGTAGTTTTTGGGAAGAAGTGAGGGTGGCACAGGAGTTGTATTAGTGTGCTGTGAATGCAAGAAAAAAAACAGAAATGTGGAAGATGGTTGCATGCTTCTAATCTTATATGTATTTTCCTCTTTGTGATAAATGATACTTAAATAAATCTTTTACGAAATGTTTACCAGTAGCCTCAGTTGATCTGTTTGGGTTCTTTTGGTTTTGTTTTTTAAGCGCTTCAGCGTTCTGCAGGTAGTCCCACATCCATGCAGCTTAGTGAACACTGGCTTCCTACAGGTTGTTCAGTGGCTGATCTGTGTTCTTCACCAAAAGTCCTCCTGTGGGTGGAGGACGTGGATTCCCTTTAGGTATAAGCTTGTATTGCAGCCTTTGCAGTTCAAGTACGCGGGTGTCGTCTTGTCTGGTTGCTACTTACACGTAAGCTGGGAAAAGGGAACTGTACTGGAGGCTTCTAGCCCTCGGGGCAAATTTGATGTCTGATGAGCTCAGGTGTTAAGAGCAGGACAGACACCCAGTAGGACTACATTATTTACATTGGAAAATGTCCAAGGTTGTTGGACGTATGCCATAACTTCAGAAATTTTCTTCTAAAAAAAAAACCAACCACCCAAACCAAAAAAAAACCACTACACCACCACCTTTCTACTCTTCCTCTGCAGTAAGAGGTAAAAGGTAATTTAATGATCTGCTAATATATCTGAAGAAAAAATGGCTTTCTACTTCGGAAGATAAAAGGGATCTGAGATTAAACTCTGGAGAAAATTATTTAAATTGCTACACCATACAGGTTGCTGATTATTCCAGTCTGCTCAAGTATGTACCTCCTTCCTGTCCCCCTGACATGTTCAAAAATGCCCTCTGTCATTACCACGCTGTCAGTAATAGGTTCCTTAGTTTTCTCTTTGCTCTCACAGATGGCAACTTGGGTACCTTCAGCTGCGGTGGTGTAAGAACCTCTTGTGCCACTGTTCTGGCAGTGCCCTGCCCTTCCAGTTACCCTGTGCACCCAGGTGTCTTGGCAACTGCACTCGGCTTCCCAGTTCTGAGGAACTGCATTGGATCCGGACTCCCACAGAGACTCTAAAAAAAGGGGAATCTTTACATGCTGGCAAAGACTGTTTAAATGTGACTTCTGCAGGGGAGCTGAAAGACTACATGAAACGCAGCTGAAACTACGAGCGAGTTGTGTGATACTCAAATACTGATCCCAGAGCACGTACTCTGGCCTGGATCCATCTGCACCGAGGGAGATTCAGTGTGTGTGACAGAATCAAGCCAAAAACCTGCTCCTTCATTAGCTGTCATTAGTGGGCACCAAAGGAGCTTGAAAGTGTGTCGGGTATGGGCAGAGAGCTCTGGCCAAGGGGTGGGTGTTGAGACTTCCCAAAATGTGGGTGGGTGAGCAGTATTTGGCGGCAGCAGCAGGCACTGCTCAAAATTCGTGCGGGGTGCGTGCATGTGCTGTTGCTCAGAGCTGCAGCCCCCTCTAGGAGATGAAAGCCGCTGTACTCCGCTGGACCCCTGTCCCGTGGCTTTCCCCTGCGCGAAGGGTGCTGTTCCCTCTTCCCTGATTCCGTCTGCAGGCTTTGTAAATGCGATGGTGGCCTCTTCTGCTGTGCAGTCGAGATAGCACTTGCTGAAGTGAGTCAGTATCTGCTCGAGATTATACTGCTGGTGGGTTGTGAGGGTGTGGTGGTTTGTTCCTGTTCTAAATCGGGGCTTCCTGTTCCCCTTACGGAGGGGAAGGGAGAAAAGATGGTCCTGCAGCCCAACACGCCGACTGCGGGTTTGGCAGTGGTGTCTTCTAAAAGACTGCGCTGGAGATCGTAGTGGATTTGTGCCTGAAACCGTGCTTTCCGTTAAAGCGTCCTGCAGCTTCCCACAGGAACTGGCAGGATTTGCAGTGCCAGGGACCAGACAAAACGCCCTGGGTCAGATTTGCCGACAGGGAGGGCAGTTTCCTGTGCCTGGGTGATCACGCCGCGAGCTTTTTTCTCCCGTTCTTTGCAAATACTGCCCTGGAGATAAAGCCTTGAGACCAGCAGGGCAAAGTTAGCAGACCCGGATCAAACAATTCCAGTGGAGGGAGAAAGGGTGAGTTTGCATTTCAACTCCCCCTGCTCCCGGGTTTGAACCCCGTCCTTAACCGTGCCGCAAGTTAGCAGACCCGGATCAAACAATTCCAGTGGAGGGAGAAAGGAAGGGTTAGAGAACCCTTACAGCCCTTCCCTCTCGCCCCGGCTGAACGCCCCGTCGGGGCGGGGGAGCGAGGGCTGGCAGCCCGCCCCTTCCTGGCCGCCGGCCCCCCCCGGGGAGGAGGCGGCGGG